TTTCCTCTGACAATGTGATATTCCTGAACACACCTACAGCTCCTTGGAATTGGTGGAGTTGTTCACAGATGTCTCCCTGGTCTGCAATGTGGTCAATCAAACCACTTCCCTGTGCTCCTACTGCTGTCAGCTGGTCCCATAGGCTCTCACTGAGCTCACTCTCTCCTTAGTAAGACAACTTGGCTCTTGACTGTTAGTTTCTTCTCAGAGCCCCAACCTTGAATTCAGTTCATTAGCCTCAAAACTCATTCCGTTAGTAAGATGACTGACTCCTTGTTAAGACTAGGGACCCGAGTCCCATGAGAAAACTGATTTCTGAAAGCTGTCCTTTGACTTCCACACCCAGCAAGGGGAACAAGGTCACTCACATTCACATACAGATGATCATCAGACAGACCAAAGACAGTTAAAACTTTAAGTCATCCAGATCACAGACAAGACATTTATTCATGCATTCATTATTTATGGAGATACATTTTCATGTATCTCGGGTTGTCTTCTATACTGGCTAGTTTTTTTTTTTCTCTCTCTCTCTTTTTTTTTTTTTTTTGGTTTTTCGAGACAGGGTTTCTCTGTATTGTCTTGGAAGCTGTCCTGGAACTCGCTTTGTAGACCAGGCTGGCCTCGAACTCACAGAGATCCACCCACCTCTGCCTCCCGAGTGCTGAGATTAAAGGCATGCGCCACCAACGCCCGGCAGTTTTTTTTTCTCAACTTGACACAAATTAGAGTTGTCTGAGAAAGGGAACCACAGTTTAGGAATTGCATCCATCAGATAACCCTGTGGGCAAGCCTCGATTAACGGTTGATGTAGGAGGGCCCAGGCCACTGTGGATGGTGGCAGCCCTGGGCAGGTTGAGCCAGGCGTTAGTGGCACACGCCTTTAATCCCAGCACTCGGGAGGCAGAGGCAAGCGGATCTCTGTGAGTTCGAGGCCAGGCTCGACCGACAGCCTCCCAAACAGAGAAACCCTGTCTCGAAAAACCAAAAAAAGAAAAAAAAAAAAAAAAAAAGAAAGCAGGTTGAAGAGGCAGGCGGATCTCTGTGAGTTCGAGATCAGCCTGGACTACCAAGCGAGTTCCAGGACAGCCTCCAAAGCCACAGAGAAACCCTGTCTCGAGAAACCAAAAAAAAAAAAAAAAAAAAAAGAAAGCAGGTTGAGCAAGCCACCATGAGCAAGCCAGTAAGCAGCTCCCTCCACAGTCTTCAGTTACTGCCTTGAGTTCCTGCAGGGCGTTGGTGGGCCATGTCTTTAATCCCAGCACTCGGGAGGCAGAGGCAGGCGGATCTCTGTGAGTTTGAGACCGGCCTGGTCTACAGATCGAGTGCCAGAACAGCCTCCAAAATAATACAGAGAAACCCTGTCTCAAAACATAAAAAATAAAAATAAAAATAAAAATAAAAACTGCCGTGAGTTCCTGCCCTGACTTTCCTGGATGACAGACTGCAAACTGTACGATGAAATAAACCCCGTTCTCTGTGAGTTGCTTTTGGTCTTGGTGTTTATCTCATAAGTAAAAAATGAACTAATACAGCCTCAAACTTGCTATGTGGTGGAGGAATACTCCACCTTCCAAGTGCTGGAATTATAGGTGTGTGCCATCACAAACACATGGAAATCAATGCTTCTCTCTCTCATCCCTGGGAATACGACACAAAAGCAACATCTGTCACTCGTCACGGACATTGGACAACTATACTCTGCAACTTAATTAAATACAAGCAATACAAATGAACAGGAGCATTTGCTGTCTGATTGCTATGGACAGTTCAGAAACCCTCCTGGCACCATTCAAGCTAAAACCAAACCAGAATGTGTCAGCATGGACTCATCTGTACATTTATACTGCAAATGAGATGGAAGAGAAAATTATTTGGGGAAAAGAGAATTAGCTGGGGCTAAGGACTTAGACAATGGAAGGGACCCCAGCCCTCTTCTCATCCATCCAGCTGTTTGAGCTTGTGGGCATGAGTCAGAAGCAGAACTTGATGGACTGTTGAAGGGGGGCTTTGAGATAGCTACCAACTGAAGAGCGGGAAGCAAAGGCTCCCTTCCTCTGCTTGTGAGACCTGGAATCATTGAGAGTACTCAGAGACCACAGCTGGACAGCTGGGGAGCAGAGGGGGGCGTGTTAGACCACAGATAGCAGTTGTGCTCCAAAGGGAGCCAATCTGGAGAAGACACGGGAGGGGCACCATGACGGGTACTTGCCTTTTGTTGTTCCCAATAGTGAAACAGGCTCACTCTGGAAGAAGAGAGTGACTCTTTTTATGAATATAATGGTTCACAAAAACCAGTTGTTACTGTATGCATTACTTATTTGAGCTTGTGACCAAAATACATGATAGAAACAACTTGGAGGAAAACTTGTCTTGGCCCATGTCTCAAAGGGTTCTTCTGGAAGAGAGGGCTCAGAGGCAAGGAGGAAACCTGCTCTCCTTTTTTTTTTTTTTTTTTTTTTTTTTTTGGTTTTTCGAGACAGGGTTTCTCTGTAGCTTTGGAGGCTGTCCTGGAACTCGCTCTGTAGACCAGGCTGGCCTCGAACTCACAGAGATCCTGCCTCTGCCTCCCGAGTGCTGGGATTAAAGGCGTGCGCCACCAACGCCCGGCCCTGCTCTCCTTTATTTGCTCTTTTTGCCTCTTTTACTCCACCTAACTCTCCGTCGACAGGGTGGTGCCACCAACACTCAGGGTCAGTCGCCAAGCCCTACCTCCTCCACTCCGATTAGTCCTTTGGAAAAGCTTCACAAACACATCTGGAGATACTTCCTTGGTCTCCCAGGCCATTCTAAATCTGGTCAAGTTAATGATGAAGATAAACTCTTACACTGGAGAACTTGTTACTTTGACTTCTATAATAATCCCTCTCCCAGTTACCAACCCAGTTATATCCTCAGCTCCTCATTTTTTTTTTTTTTTGCTATGTCATTTTTTTTCAGCGGTTAATATCACCTGCTCCAATGGTAGGGAAACAGTCTAAATATTGTGATATTGTGTCTACACTAGCTGCCTTGTTCTAGAATCACTGGTAAGATCTGAAAACCATGTTTGTTGTTATTTTGTCTACACAGCACAGTTGACTTGGGGGAACAGTAAGTGTTGCAAACAGTTATTCCCAGATTCTGTCATATTTCCTGCTTCAGTTTTTTACCTTGGGAGCAAAATGTTAAAGCTATTTCACTTATTTAAAATTTTTAGTTACCTTTTTTCATTTTATTTTACGTGTGAGTATTTTGACTGCATGAATGTATTTGTGTGTGCTTAGTGTCTTCGAGGTGAGAAGGGAGTATCAGATCCCCTAGATTTGGGGTTACCTGTAGCTGTGAGCTACCTTGTGGGCACTGGGAGTCAAACCCCAGGTCTCCTGCAAGAGCAACAAGTGCTCTCAACCACCAGTCATCTCTCCAGCGCCCTCATTAATTAAAAAAATCTGTTTTGAATTTTCATAGTTATTTATTTATTTTTGGTTTTTCCGAGGCAGTGTCTCTCTGTGTAGACTTTGAGAACAGGCTGACCTCGAACTCACAGAGATCCGACTGCCTGTGCCTCTCAAGTGCTGGGATTAAAGATGTGTGCCACCACTGTCCAGTCTCAAAAAATTTTTTTAAAAAATTATGTTCGGTTTATGGTCTGCAATGTTCACATTATAAGACTGGGCTACCAGCACTCGGGAGGCAGAGGCAGGCGGATCTCTGTGAGTTCGAGGCCGGGCTGGACCGATAGCCTCCAAAACAATACAGAGAAACCCTGTCTCGTAAAAACAAAACAAAACAAAACAAAAGACTGGGCTACAAGTAATCTGATAGCGAGCTTGCTTGCCCATCATTCATAAATCCTGAACTCCACTCCCAGAGTTACTTAAACCAGGCAAGGTAGTCCACCTTTGGAATCCCATCACTAGGAAGTAGAGGCAGGAGGATCTCTGTGACTTTGAGGCCAACCAGGTCTACAGAGTGAGTTCCAGGACAGGCTCCAAAACTATACAGAGAAACCCTGTCTCAGAAAACAAAAAGCAAGAAAGCAAACAAGCAAACAAAAAATATTTTTGGCAGGCCAGATGGCTCAGTAGATAAAGTTGCTACCAAGTCCGATGGTCTGAGTTTATCCTGAATCCTTCATGATAGGAGAGATCTGACGCCTGAAATTTGTCCTCTGACCTCCATGAGTGCTGAAGCACAATTGTGCCCACACAAACTAACACCACATCCCCAATAAGCAAGTCACAATGCAAACGATGTCTTATTCATTTTATGTCCTGTCTTTTGTTTGTTTATTTGGGTTTTCTTTGTTTTTTTGAGACAGGGTCTCACCATGTAGCCTTGACTGTCCTGGAACTCGCTATGCAGACTTGGCTAGGCTTGAACTTGGAGAGATCTGCCTGCCTCTGCCTCCCAAATGCTAGGATTAATGGTATCACCATGCCCAGCTAATTTTTTTAAATAATAATAACACAAAGGTTCACATCATAGATTATTTTGCTAAGGAAACACCACTTAGTCAGGCCTGGTCTGGAAGCCTGGAATGTCAGCTGCTTAGGAGGTTAAGGCAGGAGGATAGCAAGTTCTTTACAGCTTGGCTACAAAGTAAGTTCAAAGCCAGCCTGGGCAACTTAATAAACTCTTGTCTCAAAATAAGTATTCAGGCAGTTCCCTTGCTGACATCCTGCATGCTCAGTGGCATGTGCTAAATAAATAAGTCAGTAATTAAAAAAATCAACTAGCCGCCGGGGCATTGGTGGCGCACGCCTTTAATCCCAGCACTCGGGAGGCAGAGGCAGGCGGATTTCTGTGAGTTCGAGGCCAGCCTGGTCTACAAAGTGAGTTCCAGGACAGCCTCCAAAACAATACAGAGAAACCTTGTCTCGAAAAAAAAAATCAACTAGCCAAAAGAAGCTGAGGGCATAGTTCAGGGCTAGAGCGCTTGCCTAGCATGTGTGAGGTCGTACATTCATTCAATCCTCAGTGCCGCAGCAAAAAAAAGGAGGGGGCGGGAGTGGAACTGAAGTGTCACCATTTAATTCATTCCTTCATTCCACAAGTATGCATTGCACCAGCGAGGCGCAGGGGTAAACCCAGAGCACATAACAGGAAGTAGAAGATCGCATCGCTCTTGTTGACAGAAGACAAGCTCCTGTGTAAGGAAATTCAGTCGTGTGTTAGATGAGACAGGCGCATTCTGAAGGAGGAGAGCGGTTAGGAGGAGCCGATCTGTGATGAAAGTTGCAATCTCTAGAGCAGGCTTCTGCGAGAAGTAACTTCCAGACTTGACACCAGGCACAGTGACACATTCTGGAGTCTCCACTGAAGGCAGGGGGATCACCTGAGCATAGGAGCATAGGAGCTTGAGATCAGCTGAAACAACACGGCAGGACCCCATCTCAAAAAAATAAATAATAGGGGCTGGAGAGGTGGCTCTGCAGTTGGGAGTGCCTGTTGGCTCTCTTAGAAGACCCAGGGGCAATTCCCAGCACCAACGTGATAGCTCTCAACCACCTGTGACTCCAGTTCCAAGGGATCTGGCACCCTCTTCCTAAACGCCGTGAGCACATGTATATGCAGGCAAAACACTCACAGGCATGATACAAAAGAAACGTCTAAAACTTGAAAGTGGCTGGGCGTAGTATCGCATGCCTTTAATCCCAGCACTTGGGAGGCAGAGGCGGGAGGATCTCTGTGAGTTCGAGTCCAGACTGGTCTACAAGAGAGAGTTCCAGGACAGCCTCTAAAGCCACAGAGAAACCCTGTCAAACAATAAATAAATAAATATAAAAAATAAGTTAATAATGTTTTAAAATTCAAGCCCGGCATTGGCAGATCTCTGTGACTTCGAGGCAAGCCTGGTCTACAGAGAGAGTTCCAGGACAACCTCCAAACCAATATAGAGAAACCCTGTCCCAAAAAAAACAAAACAAAAAAAAGTTTAAAAATTCTGGAGAGAAAGTGCCTGAGAGGAGATTTGAAAAAAAAAAAATGCAAATATCTAGGCACATATGAAGGTACAAGGTTGTAATACCAGCAGCACCCCCGAGGTGGTTGCAGAGGAATTCAAGGTCTTCAGTTTGAGGCCGTATGACAGTATCTTAAAAAAAAAAAAAAAAGCAAATATTTGTGAGAAGAGCATTCCAGGAAGAAGTAGCACTTGGTACCGAGTCCCAAGAAAACAGGAAGAGGAACAGAGGAACAGTTTAGCTTATTCCAGAAATACAGAGACCGCAGTGAATGGAGCAGTGAGCCAGGCTGGAAAGGAAGAGAGGTTCAGGCAAGGTGGGAGGGGGATGGAAATGTAGGAGGGGGGACGTGGGTGGGGTGGGGTGGGATGGGGGCGTGTCTGTAGAGGGTTTCAGCTTCTTCACTTCTTACCCGAGAGACAGTGTGGACCAGATGTGGTGGTCCACTCCTGTAACCCTTTAATCCCAGCATTCGGGAGGCAGAGGCAGGTGGATCTCTGTGAGTTCGAAGCCAGCCTGGACTACAGAGCGAGTTCCAGGACAGCCTCCAAAGCCACACAGAGAAACCCTGTCTAGGCCGGGCAGTGATGGTGCAAGCATTTAATCCCAGCACTCGGGAGGCATTGACAGGCGGATCTCTGTGACTTCGAGGCCAGCCTGGTCTACAGAGCGAGTTCCAGGACAACCTCTAAAACAATACAGGGAAACCCTGTCTGGGAAAAAAAAAAAAAAAAAAAAGGAACCCTGTCTGGAAAAACAAAACCAACAAAAAAGACAGGGTTTGTTGGTGTAGTTTGGCCGCAGGAACTCGCTCTGAGGACCAGGCAGGTCTTGACTTCACAGATCCTCCTGCCTCTGCCTCCTGGTGCTGGAATGGTGCGCATGTCCACCGCCATACCTCATTTCACATGCTAAGAGTCTCTCTCACTTCTTACTGAGAATAAACAGAAGGGGATAATGCAGAAACGAGACACGGGAAGACCGTGGGGAGAGATCACTGCCACACTCCAAGGGAGCTTAAAGTCTGGGGCATGGGGAGAAGAGCGGGGAGGAGCTGTAGGCACTTTGGTATGCTAATAGGCACCAGTTAGAAATTTATCCCTGGGTTTCCATGATGGGACTTGACATAAAGAATAGAAATAGGAACCAGATCTGGTGACACAACCCATAATCACTATTGCTCAGGAATCTGAGGCAGGAAGATTGTAAAATCAAAGTTTGTCTGAGCTACAGAGTTCAACAGCAATCTAGGTAACTTAGTAAGACCCTGTAGCTCCATGAAGAGCAATAACCTTCAAAAAAAATTAAAATAAGTAAATATTATCCATATACGCAAAACTCCCAAACCATGTCTCCTGCCCCTGACCCATCTTCTTTTACTTACTTATTCATTTTTATTATTCTTCATAAAATTTTATTTTTATTTATGCATATGAGTTGTTAGAAACCAGGTGTTCCCTGCCTTCAGACTCTCAGTGCCAGCAGCCACTGTTGTCACCCGCCACCCCCCATACCCGCCACCCCCCATACCCGCCACCCCCCCATACCCACCACTCCCCTATACCTACCCCCACCAAATCCGACACATTTTCACAGCCCCCAGGAATCCCATGGTCTCCCTATGCACAGGATATTCCCCTTTAAAAGGCCCCACCATTCACCTCTCTGCCTCTGTTTCTCTGTCTCTGTCTCCCTCCCTCCCTCCCTCCCTCACTCACTCATTCCTGGCTCCAAGAGAGGCCCCCTCCCCCATAAATCTGTTGCAAGAGACCTGTTGTGAGCCGGTCGTTGGTGGCGCACGCCTTTAATCCCAGCACTCGGGAGACAGAGGCAGGTGGATCTCTGTAAGTTCGAGACCAGCCTGGACTACCAATCGAGTTCCAGGACAGCCTCCAAAGCCACAGAGAAACCCTGTCTCGAAAAAAAAACCAAAAAAAAAAAAAAAAAAAAAAAAGAGAGAGACCTGTTGTGTGGGGTGGTCTTTCCAGCATTCCTTGGCCCCCCCCCAATCTGCCAAGGCACTCTTCCTCCTGCCTCAGAACCCTAACGTGAGTGTTTGCCTGCTTGTACGTATAGTCACCATGTGCATGGTTAGTGCCCACGAAAACTAGAGTTGCAGACGGTTGTGAGCCGCAACCAAACACATATCCTCTGTAAGAGCAGCAAGCACTTTTGACCACTGGGGAAAACCCTCCTACTCAACTCAGGTTATAATTAGCCAAATTTATTAAAGCTTCTAGCAGGGCCACAGTCTCTAACCTAGAGGTGAGTGAAGGAAGGGCTTTCAAAGGCAAAAACCACAAGACCTGTTCTGCTCTGCTAAGATTAGATAGATGGTCAAGGTGACCTCACCAAAGTCCTCAAATGTCTGCATAAGCAAGTTACAGAAGCCAAAATCAGCAGTAAGTCATAGCATAATAGTCACAGTGGCATCTTTCTGGGCGGGAGTCAAGGAGTCGGGGTTGCCGGGGAATTATCTTCCAGGAACTGGAGTCAGAGACAAACGGCTACTCCGGTACCCAGTTGGCTGCCTGGCACAAGCGACCTTCCTTTAGCTGTCACGTGAGCCCCTGAGCCATCTTCAGAGTTCTTCTATTTGCTCTTCTTTTCCCTATTATTTCTGTATTTCTGTAGGTGTGTGTGTGAGAGAGAGAAGTGGACCATCAACCATTTATAATCAGCTCCCTTTAAATGGAAACAATCTTTTGTTTCTTTTGTTTTGTTTTGTTTTTCAAGACAGGGTTTCTCTGTATTGTTTCGGAGGCTGTCCTGGAATTGTAACTATCTGTCTTCAGCTCCATCAAAGGCTCCCGAAGGATACAACATTACCTGAGTAAACAGGAAGAGCATTGTAAGCAACTTCTAAAACTCTAGAAATGACAGAGATATCTGGCTGCCTGCACAGTCCCCCAAAGTTCTTCTGTGACATTGGGGCATCCATCTTCAGCCCATAGGCCACAGCAACTGGCAGACGTTTCAATGAAGCAGGAAATTTGAAGATCTGTTCTGCCCTGTACTGGTAAAGTTTGTCAGTTGCTTTCTACTGTGTCTTGCAGAATGTCTGGCAGACTCTTTTATGAAGCAGGAACCCTGAAGGACTGTCATTTTGGCTAGTCTTGCCACATTGAATATAAACTCCATAAGAGGTTTCTTCTATTCCCATCATCTTCTTGAAATAATTGGTACTTCCAGGAGCAGATATGTCTCACTGTCAAGAAAAGCCTAAGTTTTTAAAGCATTATGTAGGTCTTTGAAGTATTTGAAGATTACCTATCCAACTGAAATATATCTCTGCATCTCTAGAAAACCTAACTAACATGACTATAAGTTGGACTGTTATAGATGATTATCTATTAATCTGTATTTCCTAATTATACATTACTTTTTTTTTGGGTTTTTCAAGACAGGGTTTCTCTGTAGCTTTGGAGGCTGTCCTGGAACTCACTTTGTAGACCAGGCTGGCCTCAAACTCACAGAGATCCGCCTGCCTCTGCCTCCCAAGTGCTGGGATTAAAGGCGTGCACCACCAACGACCGGCTACATTTTCAAATGAACTACATAAACATAATACCTTAAACAAGAGTAGGAATATATATGTATGTATATATGTATGCATATATATATATATGTAGTATAACAAAATTGACCTTTAGTTTGAATCAGTAAAACAAAATCCATGCCAATGTGAAGTATTCATTTCTATATCATTTCCCCTTTTTTTCTTTAGAAAGAGATTGACTGTGACCATTAACCATTTATAACCAACTCCCTTTAAATGAAAACAAACATTTATAAACAGCATTTGGAATTTGGGTGTTGTTTTCTAAACTACTTCCTGCTGATTGCTGGGCACAGTGATCTTATGGGGAGCCTGAGAAAACTTAGAGTTAGGAGTAAATCTTGGCTGTAGTAGTCTGTAAGGCTGCATAGTCTCAGCCAGTTGCCTTGAAGCTGGTCTAGATGTTGGATCACCTGGGTCATAACTTCAGAGGGTCTTGTTTGGTCAAACCATATTAGCCTGGAAGGAGTCCACAGCTTTTCATCTTCTGTGGAAACAAAAGCAGAACCTGTGTTCCAAAGCAACATGCCCTTAGACCCAAATTTTACAGTCAAGATATCTTTAAAATATATGTTGATTTGATATAGCAGCCCCCACAGTCAAATGTCTCTCAGTAGTTAGTTCATTAACAGTCAAAAAATTTAAAGAAAACACAATAATATAGATAATCCAGACTCTGTGTATTTTTCATCTTTACATGGCCCATTACAATTTTTTTACTCTATTTCTCCTTTAAGGACCTAGTTTATTATCCTTAAATTATTTTTTTATCTGTGACTCTGTCTTCTATCCTCTTTCTCTCAAGCCCATGCACAGCTAAGAAACACACTGTGACCTTTTTAGAGGCCTCTTTTGTCTGAATCTGTCCTTATTGCGTGTCTGTAATCCTTTTCTGATCTGGAGAGTTTTTAAAATGCTAAGCAGGCATGGTTGGGTCTAAAGTGGCAGTTTTGGCTGCTGTCTCCACCCCGTTTAGCGTTCCAAGACAGGGTAGGACAGTCTTTTGAATTTTCCTGCTTCTGAAAATGGTCTGTCAGATATTCCAGGCCTACAGCCAGAGCTGGTTGCCCAGTGTTGCAGAGAGACTTGGGTGACTGTCCAGGTAGACAGCTATTTCTGCCATTTCTTGCATCTTTTGGAAGTCGATTGTTTGCACTTCCTGCTTACTCAGGTAGTATTATTTTCCTTCTCAGGTTTTTGGTGGGGTTGAAGATTAGATGGTCAGAATTACTATTTTCTCTTATCTTAGCTAAGGTGTATTGGGTACAAGACTTAGACCTCTCAGGATAGGAATAATCTCTGTTATTTGGCAATTACCTATAGCCTGGACATTTGCTATGTGTTTCTTGCTTGACATTGTTCTTCTGGTTGTAGTTCTATTTTTGTGTATGTTATTACCCTTCCTTTCTACTTGGTAATTGTTCTTTCTGTATACAGTTTTGTATTAGGTTTAGAACCATCTTATTTAGACAAAGAGGGAAGGATAGTGGGTATTTGCTCTGCCCTTGATCTTGGATTGTCTGTCCGATAGAGATGGTACTTCTTATCTGTGGATGTGACCTCTCAAAACGAAAGAGAGGGGCAGTTGTTTGCTCTCTCGTGTGGTGGCTGGAGATCAGGCTGCTGGTTCCATTCACTCCTGGGCAGAACTGAAGACCACTGTGGCAATCTGCCTTTTGTCCCTGTGAGTGTATCAGGGTACAACCTTGGTCCCCTTATCGGGCTCTTGTGGACTTCTACGATAAGACTCCTTTTCTCTTTGTTGCTGTTTACATTTTTACTTTGTTTTGTTTGGTCTTTGGTTTTTCTTTTAAATTTGGTTTTGTTTAGGGGGGATTGCAAGGGCAGAGGGAGGACAAGAGGGGGCAGGGAGATAAGTGGGATGGGAAGGCATGGGGTGAAATCCACAAAGACTCAGTAAAAGTAAGATAAGAAAAAAGAAAAGAAAAACCAGGGTCTCATACTGCAGCCTAGGATAGCCTAGAATTTACTATGTAGCAGAGACTCAAATAGCTGGTGATCTTCCTGTGTTCTGGGATTACAAGTGTGTGCCACCTACCCACAACTTTTCGTTTTGGTTTAGTGTGTGTGTGTGTGTGTGTGTGTGTGTGTGTGTGTGTGTGTGTGTGTACACCGTTCACCTTCTGCTTTTGGGGCAAGGTCTTTCACTAGTACTCACAGATTTGTTTAGATCATCTGCCAGTCATCCCCAAAGATCTGCCTGTCTCCTCCTCCCACCTCCACAGCCCTGGGATTAAAGGCGTATTTTTATATGGTTCTGGGGATTGAACTCAGGTCCTTACACTTGTGTGGCCAACACTTTATCAGTTTATCTCTCTCTTGACCCCTGTTTTTTGTTTTAGTAGTGGCCATGCTAGACAAGAATTTTACCACTGATCTATGTCCACTCCACTGCCTCTCCTTCTCCTCCTGTTTCCACCTCTGGAGTGCAGTGACTACTGACAGGTGCCCCTCACTCTACCTGGCACCTTTTGTTTGAGATGACTGACCTAGTGAGCCAGAGCCAGAGTCACAGCATCACTGTCTGAACAGGCAAAGAAGAAATCAATTCCATTTTCCAAACTAACTCAATCAACAGTCAAGCTCCCAGGCTAATTTAGGAAATCAGGAAGTTGAATGGTTAATTTTTATCTTTCTTTTTCCATTGTAAAGCTGACCTTTCTTTGTTTTTTTTTTTTTAAAGCGGTACTCGTGTCTGCCTACACAAACCAAACATATTTCCCTCTTCAAGAAATACTCTTTCAGCCGGGCGGTGGTGGCACACATCTTTAGTCCCAGCACTCAGGAGGCAGAGGCAGGTGGATCTCTGGTTTTGAGACTAGCCTGGTCTACCGTGGGAGTTCCAGGACAGGCACCAAAGCTACACAGAGAAACCATGTCTTGAAATGTACACACACACACACACACACACACACACATTTTTTGAGCTAAGGTGGTTATATACAGCCTCTGAGTAAATTCCCACCCTTTGTCTAGTCCTTGAACCAAACTCTGAAAGATTAGTTGTGGAAAAAGAATCTCACTGGGCAGATGGAGCTACTCTAGAACTTTGCATCCTTCTGCCTCCACCTGCAAAGTGCCGGGAAGGCAGACATGCTCCAACATCCCCAGTTTGGGGCTAGCTTTCAAACTGGAGGTTGCTAGGCAGTCAAGTCAGTCTCGTCAGTTCTTGGGCTTTGTGAACACTGGAACACCTCCCTTCACACCTCAGGAAACAACACACGAGCAAAACATGGGTGAAACCAAGTTCAGACGGGCACTTTGCAACAGGTAATACAACAGTTGGCCCTGACCACAGTCAGATACCGGAAGATGAGGAACTCCAGATAGCAGGCCAGGGAGACAGTTCCGGCTCATGCAGTGTGTTTTTGTGCTGCGTCTGAGAGAAGCTGAGTCGAACCGCTTCTTTGGACATCGCACGGGGGCTGCTCTGGGAAAGGACTTAATTCTTTCTTAGGGATGCACCTGCGATCCCACTGCTGGGGAGGCTGAGACAAGAGGCCACCTGAGCTGAGCTATACAATGAGACTGTTGTCTGGAAAATCAAGGAAAACAACACAGTAAGAAACCTAATCAGCTTGAGGAACGTCTGTGAGCCTTCTCTACAGCCATCTCCTTATCCCGTGGGGATCTCCTTTCTCGCTTTGCAGCCAAACACTCGGTTCAAAATTGAAACTACCCCTCCCAGAAGTTATGCCCCTCCCCCTCCCCAGATTTCTACTTTTTTTTAGACCAATATCAAGTTCAGGACAGGGTCAGCTCCATTCTGAGCCAATATGGAGGGAATCTTTAAAAAGAGCTGGAAAAGACAATAAAAAGAGAGGAAAAGAGCAGGGAGGAGAGGGGGAGGTGGGGGGCCGATCCTGAGGGCTGTTTTCCTTAGCACAGTGTGCCCTAACTGTTGCAGGACGGAAGGAAGGAGGGTTGATTTTAAAATGAGTTGCTTCCCCCTGTTCCAGGAGGCCTGCCAAAGGATGCATCTTGCTGGAAGGAGACCAAATGGGCTCTGTCACGAAGGGCGGGTCTACAGCCTGTGCAGAAGAAGCAGGAAGTTGTGGAGAGGCGTGGCCTCAGAGGTGAGGACGAACCTTTGCAGGTTTGCTTCCTTTGACGCTCGCTTCCTTTTGCTGCTTGTCTCGGGAGACTGCTTATGTTGTGTTTTGTTCAGGGATCCCCAGGGCTCCCAGGAACAGAGCTGTGGAAGGGCCCTTCCTTGCCCACCAACCGTCTTCCACTTTCTCCAATCCTGCGGACTGCCTGCCTGCTCTGACTCCACCTGGAGACTGAAAAGACTCAGCCTGGGAAGATGCTAACTGCTTGGCGTTGCTGTGCTTCACTCTTTTTGTTTGTTTGTTTGTTTGTTTTGGGTTTTTTTTTCTTTGATTTTCAGAGACAGCTTATGTAGCTCAGGCTGGACTCGAACTTTTTTTTTTTTTTTTTTTTTGGTTTTTCGAGACAGGGTTTCTCTGTGGCTTTGGAGGCTGTCCTGGAACTAGCTCTTGTAGACCAGGCTGGCCTCGAACTCACAGAGATCCACCTGCCTCTGCCTCCCGAGTGCTGGGATTAAAGGCGTGCGCCACCAACGCCCGGCTCCACCCCCCTCTGTTTTAATGAAAGAAATGAAGTGTTAAATTAAACTTGACGCTCCTTTTGCCTTTCCATCCCATTAACTGCCCTCACTGACCAGGTGATAGTGGTGCACTCAGGAGACAGAGGCAGGCAGATCTCTGTGAGTTCAAGGCCAGCCTGGTTTACAGAGGGAGTTCCAGGACAGCCAGGGCTATTACACAGAGAAGCCCTATCTTGAAAAAACAAAAAAAAAAAAACCCTGCCCTCACATATTCGTCACCTATTCCCCTCAGCCACCATGTTTTTGTTTTGTTTGTTTGTTTGGGCTTTTGCTTTATTTTGTCTAGCATGTGTAAGGCCTTAGGGTCCAGAGTCAAATCAAACAGAACACAAAAGAAAGCAGTGCTTGGTGCTAAATCTTTCTTACTTCATTCTTCTTAGCTCCGCCTCCCCAAGCAACACCACCAAGCCTGCCCTGCAGTGTACTCTGACTACAGCCAGGGCAAGGGGACAAAAACTGCCCCTGCTCCCGTGTCCCCCCACTCCTGCAGTTTTCAGTGCCTGACTTCAAAACTTCCCAGCAAGGACCAACATCATCATCATCCTTAAGCTGAGAGTCCCTTGAGCAAAGCCTGCATTCTTTTTTGTTAAATTAAGACAAAAAAATTAAAGGTGGGGAGGTGGGGAGAGCAAGGAGGAGGGAGGGAATGGGAACTGGGATTGGTGTGTAAAATGAGAAAATATTGTTTTAAAAGAAAAAAAATTAAGCTGGGAAGAGGTGGTGCACACCTTTGATCCCAGCGCTCGGGTGGCAGAGGCAGGTGGATCTATGAGGGGTAGGCTTGCCTGGTCTACAAAGCGAGTTCCAGTACAGCTAGGACTACACAGAGAAACCTTATCCCCAAAGACTAAAAGAAAAAATTAACCATTTTGTTGATTTCAGTGTGTGTGTGTGTGTGTGTGTGTGTGTGTGAGTGTGAGTGTGTGTGGGTGTGTGTGAGTGTGTGAGTGTGTGTGCGCGTGGGTGTGTGTGGGTGTGTGTGGGTGTGTGAGTGTGTGTGAGTGTGTGTGTGGGTGTGGGTGTGTGAGTGTGTGTGTGTGTGTGAGTGTGTGTATATGAGCGTGTGTGTGTGTGAGTGTGTGTGTGTGTGTTGCACACGTCATGGCACAGGCGTGGAGGTCAGAGGACAGCTAACAAGTGTTGCTTTTCTCCTACCATGTTGGCTCTTGGGACCAGGTACTCAGGCTTGGCAGCAAGCACATGAACCCGCAGACCCTAAACTTACATTCTTGAACTGGGTTTGTACTTAGGGTGGGTGTAGCCACAAATGGACTAGAAACAAGACGAAGCTTGTGTTTCTGGCTTGGCTTGCCTGTTTCCAGCTGAGAACTCTTATGACTAAATTGCCCATTTAATTACTCACAGCTGCCCAAAAGCAGACTCAAGCAAAGATTTCAGTCATTGGCCATGGTGGTCGATAGGGGCACATTTTGAAGAAAGGTAAGACCAAACTTTCTTTTTGTTTTTTGTTTTTTTTTCCGAGGCAGGGTTTCTCTGTAGCTTTGGAGCCTGTCCTAGAACTCTCTCTGTAGAGCAGGCTGGCCTCGAACTCAGAGATTAGCCTATGTCTGACCTGAGTGCTGGGATCAAAGGCGTGTCAGCATGCCCAGCTGGAGATTGAGCCTTCATGAGACTATCTTCAGCATTTGGTAGATGACTCAACAGCTCATTTCAGTGTACTGAAACGTGCTTATGACTTTATTCAGGGAACAGGGGGAGTGGCTTCTCTTTCTTCCTTCCTTTCTTTCCTTTTCTCTAAGATTTTCTTTTAATTGTGTGAATATGTGTATGTCTGTGCGTGGATTTGTGTATATGTGTTTGAATGCCTGACGAAGCCAGAAGAGGGTTGGAGTTAGAGATGGTGATGAGCTGCCTGATGTGGGTGCTAGGAACTGAACCCTTGTCCTTTAGAGGGATTCTAGTGCTCTTAACTCCTGAGCCATCTCTCCAGCCTTAACATCCTTCCTTCAGGGTTTCTCTGTGTGACAGTCCTGGCTGTCCTGCAGACACTTCATAGACCAGACTGGCCTCAGTTCACAGATATCCACCTGCGTCTGCTCTCCAAGTGCTGAGATGAAAGGCGTGCACCACCACTGCCCAGCTAAAATCCTTTTTAAAAGGTGCTTTTTCCCTGTACAGATTTTTAATGACTGAAACTCACCACCGAATAACCTCTGTCCTCTGTTCCTCCAGGGACAGCGGCTGCCACAGGCTCTGTTTTGTGGCCTCACCTACAAGGTTAGTTAAATACTTTGTACAGCACAGTCCCTAGGTTAATAATTGATCTAGCCAGGGTAAAACCCATGTTCTTTTGCCACGACACATCTTCTTTTATTTTTGCGAAGGACTTAGTAAATGCACACTGATAATGTAGCTCAGTGTCGTGCCACCAGACCATTCTAGAAAATAAGCATGTTCTTCATAATGCTTCAGGCAGCCGCAGATAACCTCTTCTGTGGGGATAACACTATAATCTTTCTGATAGGCCTGACTAGAAGAAAAGAAGAGGACCCAAAGAGACAAGGTCCCACTCAGGTGATGTTTAGACAGATTATATGTATCTCAAAACTGAGAATTTTCATGTAGGCTCTTTTCCATAGCTAAAGATTGAACCCAGGCCCTCAGGAATGCTAGGCATGGTGGGGTGTTGGGGGCGCATGCCTTTAATCCCAGAGCTCGGGACAGCCTCCAAAACAATAAAACAATACAGAGTAACCTTGTCTCAAAAAAAAAAAAAAAGAAAGAAAGAAAAAAGCGCTGGGGTTGGGTACTTGAAAGTGAATTTTCATCTAAGTATGTAGTACTCAAAAGGTTGGGTGTGCTGGCGCATGCATTTAATCCCAGCACTCGGGAGGCAGAGGCAGGTAGATCTCAGTGAGTTCAAGACCAGCCTGGTCTACAATAGCTAGTTCCAGGACAGCCTCCAAAGTCACAGAGAAATCCTGCCTCAAAAAAACAAAAAAACAAAAAAAAAAAAAAACAAGAAAGAAAGAAAAGAAAAAGAAAACAAAACCAAAAATAAAAATTCAAAACCAGAGTGAGTTCTAAGCCAGTCAGCCAGTGAGAGCTACAGAGCAAGGTTATGTCCACCACAAACAAAACACCACTTCACTAGTGTTCAGCGTGATGAGTTTCTAAAAGGTATACAGTTCAAAATGTTCAGAGACTGTGAAACAGAATGTCATCACTGCCTGGCTGGTCTCCAGACACGTCCCTGTCACATACTACTAACCATTTCTTCCTCCTCATCCTATGCTAGGGAGGCACATTGTCTCTGAGCTGCAGGTTCCAGGTCAGCATTGTATGCAATATTATTTACTTATTTTTAGGTTTTTAAGACTTAGTAATTTTATTATTTGTGTGTGTATGTGCTTGAGATGGAGTTTCTCTACCTAGCTTTGGCTGTCCAGGAACTCACTCTGTAGACCAGGCTGGCCTTGAACTCACAGATATGCCTGCCTCTGCTTCCTAAATGTTGGAATGAAAGGAGTGTGCTGATGGGAGATGCCCTTCTCTATGATGTGAATATATTTCTCTTATTGGTTAATGAATAAAGCTGTTTTGGCCAATGTAGAGGCAGGATGTATTGGCAGGGCTACCAGACTGGGAGAGTTCTGGGAAGAAGAACACAGAGAGTGAGTCATGGGAGAGATACCACGTAGCAGCTGAGGAAGCCAGAGGTCTGGGCATCACTGGTAAGCCAAAACCATGTGGAAATACATAGATTAATAGAAATGGGTTAATGATTAAGAGAGAACCGTGCCACCACTGACCAGCAATTTTTTTTCATTTTCTTTCTTTCTTTCTTTTTTTTTTTTTTTTTTTTTTTTTTGGTTTTTCGAGGCAGGGTTTCTCTGTATTGTTTTGGAGTCTGTCCTGGAACTCGCTTTGTAGACCAGGATGGCCTCGAACTCACAGAGATCTGCCTGCCTCTGCCTCCCGAGTGCTGGGATTAAAGGCAAAATTTCATACTCTATCATTAGTCTCTGTATTGTAATTTGGGAGCTGGCTGATGGGACAGAAAAGATTTGCTATACTAAAAGCTTTTTTTTTAAAGTATATTATAAACACATGGGAGTGCATAAACTGTCAGGTACAGAGAGCTTGGTGGGTTATCCGGAACTTCAGGGATACCCTGTCTAGACCCGGTACTTTAACTGAAGTCTCAAAACTTCCTAATCCCTTTTTGTCACTATTCTCTCCCCCACAGAGTAACCTCTGTGTTAACTTCAGACTCACAGATTAGTTTTGATTGGTTGCTTTGTGTGTCCTACTGCTTAACACCATCACACAGGCGTGTTCTTTCTCCTTGTTTCACTAGCTCTCGAATACACGCTCCTTTCTGTCGTTGCTCACTCTGGTCAGTGTGGAATGTATTGCATCCTGATTTGCTAGTCTAACATATTATAAATTAAATAAGCTTTCCCCTGATAACTGGGTAAATTGAAATTGAGTGTCATTCCTTTTTATTTATTGGCCACTTGGATATCTATCTATCTATCTATCTATCTATCTATCTATCTATCTATCTTCTATTGATCAATCTACCTATCTATCTATATGTCTGTCTGTCTGTCTATCTACCATCTATCTCTTTACTTATTTTGAGACAGGGTCTTTCTATGTAGTCCAAGATAGCCTGGAAGTTAGTATATAGACCGTGCTGGCCTAAAATTCACAGAGATCTTCATGAACCACCTTGCTGGGCCATGCTGGAGTTTTGACTGACCTGATCTTGCACAGGTAACCACAGGTACTGTGAATTCAGAAGT